AGAGGGCAGTAGAAACGGACACCATTCGCAGAGAAATAATTTAGGAATTGGGCATTGTTGTACTCCCCACCATTGTTGGATTGGAAAGATTGAATTGTTGTTTTGAACTGTGTTTTCACAAAGGAAACCAAATGAGTGAATTTTGCAAAAACTTCAAACTTCTTTCGTAAAGAATATAACCAAACGAAGTGAATGTGATGATCCAGAAATAAAATATAATACCGGATATCACTAATGCTTGGAATTGGTGATGTCCATACGTCTGAATGAACAAGTTCAAAAGAAGTAGAAACAATTCGATTACTTTCATGAAAAGGAAGTTTAAGGTGTTTATCCAATGGAAAGCTTCACAACAAACTGGAAACTCGCCTTTATTACAAGCAATCAACTGAGAAGAAATCAAAGAACGAAGAAAATTATCGTTGACGTGACCAAGTATTTTGTGCCACAGTGAAGGATTAGCAACGACAAAAGCTGAATGTGAGTTTGCCTGCTTATTCTGAAAACATGGAACATAGTAGAGGTCTCTTTTGCTCTCATTGCGGAGAAGCGTTTTCCTGGTGTTGAGATCCTTAATAGAAAAACAAAAAGGTTGAATACGACCGAACACCAGTTATCATTAGTAAACCGACGAACATAAATAAGATTTTTAATGATATTAGGAGCAACAAGAACATTATTTAAAGAGAGAGAACGAGTTGGAGAGGAAAGAGATGAAGAACCAATGTATGTGATTGAAATGGAAGAACTGTTACCAATAACAACAGATTTTCCGGTGTTATGTTTAAGAACAGAGTTTAGAAAACCTGAGGTTGACGCTAGGTGGGAAGTTACCCCCGAATCCATGTACCAATTTGCAGCACGTGGGTCCCCAATGGTCATGGTGTTGAAGGCTTGCGCAAAATTAGTGATTGCCTGCATCAGATTCCCAGCAATGTGAGTTTGATCTGGACGCGTAGGTGCAGGACCTAGTACTCCACGCGGATTGACTTGCATCCACGGCGTCAGATATTGCTGCCAGTTCATCATCGGCGGTGGAAAGAATGGATGATGCCAAGTTTAATACCAGTGTGGAGACCAGTTGTTATTCCATGGGCGATGATTTCCGTAGCTGCCTCTCCTTCGTCCTCTGCTGTTTTGCTTGCGGTTTTTTTGTTGTTGCAAGGTTGTGTTTTCTCCATATTGACTGTAAGCACTGTTGAAGATGGCGGAGTGTCAGTGTTTACCAGTGTCTTCTGGTTGTGACGAGTTTCCTCATTGAGAAGCATTGATTTAGCGGTGTCGAACGTTGGGAACGGATCATTGTGCTTGATCACATTGATGATGTTATCGTACTTCTCGTTAAGACCCAGAACCAGTGTACGATCATTGATCGGAGCGTCTAGATTGGCAAGAAGATCAGAGATTGATTTGAGGGTCTGGCAGTATTCATGGACGGAGTGATTGCCTATCTCAATCGTGCGTAGGTTGTGATCGAGCTGGAAGGCCCGTGCTTCCTTGTTTCTTTGGAACTGGGCTTCTATGCGAAGCCAAATTTCTCTGGCGGTGCCTTCTATTTTGAACACGCTTCGAAACAGTTGATGCAAGTGTACTGTAAATCCATAGCTTCACTAAACTGTCGCGTTTTTGCCATGGAGTGTCGTTGTCATTTGCAGGAACAGAGGTGCCATCGACATGCCCTAAGACGTCGAAAGCAAGGCATTGAGTGAGAAAAAATTTTCTCCAAGCATCATAATTGTGATCTTGATAGCCAAGGATAATCGGGATATGGGTCTTGATATTGGTTACCCCGAAAGCACGCTCAACGGCGTTTTGAGCGGCCATTGAAGGTAGAGAATAACAAAGATGAGAAATGTATAGAAAAATAAAATTTCCGAGAAAAGAAGAAGATGACGAGAAATGTGGGAACCGAAATTCACCTCTGTCAAGATTACGTAAATTTAAGAATTTAGAGTAAACCCTAACTTCCCAGAGGACCCGACTATCTGCGGAACCGCACACAAGCAATCAAGAACGCGATTGATATGAGTAAGTAAAAATATGTTAAGAAAAACAAGATTGAGAGCAAAAGGATTCTTATTCCGAATTCGCGTAAGAATGGTACAATAAGAGTAAGCCTTATCTGCGTGAGCCATCGGCGAGATCCCTAACCCTTAGCAATCTAAGACTAAAACCCTAGTTGAGACACAGCTCGATAACGAAAACGAAAATATTCCTAAATGCTAAGTTTGGTGGTGAAAGCTCTGAAAACTCGTCATTTGCTTCTGTCCTTTGCCTTTTCCTTATATACTCCCTTCCTAGGCGGTTTAGTCCTTCCTTTTCGCCCAGATTCGAGTTTATCGGGAATCTTCCATTTATCTCGATCTTTCTTTTTTTCTGTGCGGAAATCTTCTATTTATCTTCAAACTTGACATTTATCTTCCTTCTGCGAGTAAATCTTAAAACCGTCATTGTATATTTGGGCTGGATTTCGTTTAAAGTCGTAAGTGTACTTTTATCGCGCTTTTGGGCTGTCCGAGTCGCTTTGCGATAAAAACCGTTTTACGATTTTAGATGAGATCGTTTCCTGACAAGATGCTGTTTTTATAGGATTTCTCGAGTTGATCATATAGTTGGACAATGCACGATGTTCCGTCTAATTGTTGCCGTTTTATACGATCTTCCCAAACTTTACGAGAAATGAAGACTTTTACAATTTTTATCGTAAAACTTGAACGGTAAGACGGATCGAGACGAAACGAGAGACTTTTCAACCATGGTTCAGAGCATGATCAAGCCGAAGGACGTATGCCTTGATTCGAGGACGTGGGAGATCGAGGCTCAGGACGGTCAGCTTGACGTACAGCGAGTCGAATTGGATTGGTTCAGCTCGCCGGACGGCGGGCTGCGTTAAGGTGACCAGCTCGCCGTACGGTGAGCTGGTCTGAGACCGACCAGTTCACCGAACTGCGAGCTGAACTAGCTGGTTCGGCTCGTCGTACGTTGAACTTGGTTCGGTCGAACCTGCTCGCGGTTTACGGCGGATGCGGTTTTTGCTTAACTTGGGCAATCGCGTAATCGGCGATATTGTTTCGTTCGTTCTTCCGAGATGACGATTTCCAAGTTTTCCGCGGATTTCCTTTGTTTGGAAAGTCCTTAGAATTTTATAGAACAACTTCTCGAGTTTTATAAAACGTACTTTTGTTTTTTGCGGAAAGTTTTGATCATTGATTCCGTCGTACCGATTTTGACTCCAACAGGAAAGGTCTCAGAAGCTTTTAAGATCTCATACCATGAAATAAACTGTATTCCCTTGCTTTTCCATTGAACTCATACAACGTATAAATCTATAGATTTTGGTAGTCTCGTTACGCTTTACATGGGATTGTTATCTAAGAAGATATCTAATCATATAATATAGGATATTATATAGCATATTCTAATAATTACTATATATCTTTAGTCGTTTAAGAAATAAATTATAATTATTAATTTGTTATATAATGTCTATGTATGGGATCTTGTGATTGAGTGATAAGGAGATGGGCTTGGGACGTCAACACATTTCAAGTTCGATCTAAATGTTGCCTGAAAATGAGTTACATTATTTTGCACACCCATATGGATATGAGCATTTGATTTTAACTCATTTGAATATCCGAAAAGAGAATTTATCCGGATTACACATCTCTTTATAGATTAGTCTAGACCTTTCCGTAAACTCGAAATACCTATCAAAATTTAATCCAAAAAAAACTATAATGTTTTCCAGAACATTTCTTAATTACTAATTTTTTGCATGATTGGGAAAGGTTAGCTTTATTCAATTTGTACTTCACATGTATTTGTTTCGGTACATTATGTTAACCACGTTGGTCTGGTTTGATGGTATGGTGGGCTCGAAAAAGTGGTAACAGTTCCTTCTTTGAAACCTATCATTTAAATTTATCCAGCTATGTGATCAGACGGCATGGATATCTAACTTCCAGAGCAATCGAGGTTGTTTTACCAGCGAACTGGTCCTTGGAGATTAGTCAAGCTTTTAGATTTTGATACCTCTTGTTTATTAAAACGTACATTTTGTTGAAGTTTTAGCTAAAAATACATCATGTTGAAACGTATATAAAAATAAAACGTATTTGGAAGAAAAATCTTGAATATATAAAGGCATTTGGCTTTATAGTATCAAATATCAATTAGGTCTGAAGATGAGAGTGAAAAAAATAAACAACCTTTTGATGGCAAGTCACTTATGTGTTCTCTTTTAGTTTGTTGCAGAGACTTATCCAGTATGATGGTGATAACGACTCCCTCTAATCCTCTCACTACACGTAAAATAGTTATCGTATTACGCATTAGATTATAAATAACGAGGATTTCATATATAAAGACTGCATGTAAATATTCCTATATCCCTTTAAAAGAAACTAAAATGGAGATGTCATAATAATACTAAAATGGAAAATTTTAGTAAAATTTACATGGACTAATTAAATCAGATATTGTTTGATAATGCAACGGTCTCATTAAATTCTCGAAGTTAATTACTTTCACATTTTTATTTATTTTTCTAGGTAGAAGGATTTTTCGATCATATATATATATTTTTCAATCCAAGTAGTATTTTAAATTATATATCTGTTTTTAATAAGTAAATTATATATCTGTTGATCTACTTTTTTTTTGTTTGGTACGAAATGAGAAAGCAATTTAAATTGTTCCGTTATTTTTATTGCTTTCACATGAGTTCGACGGAATGATTTCGTCAAGTTAAAAAGTCATGTCTTTTCAACATGAAACATTATTAACGATAGTGATGTATAACTTGAGGAATTAGTAAAAAAAGAAGAAGGAATTAGTAGTATTAATATGCAAAGGGTTAATTAAGTAACTTCCGAATATATATTACATAATTAAAAAATAATAATCAAACCATCCCTTGACACCTCCTTCATTTTTATATTATAAATAATAAGTCCTCTTCTCCCAACACATCTTCTTATTGCAGAAAAAGTGAGACAAAAAAACATCAACCTATTCAATCTAAGAGAGATAAAAAGAAGATCTAGAGAGGGAGAGACCAAGAAACATGAGTAACCAGAATGTTGATGATCATAATCTTCTATTCATTTCTCAGATGTACCCTAATGTCTATACTTCATCGATACCACAACAAGGTTTGCCCACGTTAAAGCGTCTTTCTTTTTATAAAAACCCCCAAAATTGGATTTACAACTATCTTCAAGTGGGTCTTCTTTATTTTCTTTCTTCTTCTTTTTTTTGTAATGATAAATTTGTCTTATTTTAGTCCTTTTCACATACGTGCATGATCAAGACTAAGATTTTATTATAAGTTAAAACATTAATATTGATTTGTTTATCTTTGACCAGCGGGAGATTCAAAACCAGCGCAGCCAATGAGGAGGAGGAGGAAGAAGAAGGGTGTTGCGGTGGCGGAACAAGGTGGAGATGGAAGCAATGGGTGGTTTAGGAAGAGGAAATTGAGTGATGAGCAAGTAAGAATGCTGGAGATGAGTTTTGGAGATGAGCATAAGCTTGAGTCAGAGAGGAAAGATCGTCTTGCTAAGGAGTTAGGGCTTGATCCTCGTCAAGTCGCCGTCTGGTTCCAAAACCGCCGTGCACGGTGGAAGAACAAGAGGCTTGAAGATGAATACACTAGACTCAAGAACGCACACGAAAACGTCGTCGTTGAGAAGTGTCGCCTTGATTCTGAGGTGCGTGATTATCTTCTCTTTCTAAATACTAATTAATATTTTGCTATAGATTACTTAAAGTTTACTGGTTATTAAATAAAAACCAGAGTTATGTAGGTTATAGATAACGATTACTGGTTTTCATTTAATAACAAAAACTTCTATTTATGAACATAATAGTAGTAAAATGTTATACAGGAAGAAAAACATTAATATGACCTGAAACCAAGACAACATCATAAGCAATTGAGAAAAGAAAGTAGAAATCAAACGTTGATTGAGTTACAATTTTGTTTTGTTACCTTTTGTATATATCTAAAGTTGTAAATTACATAATCTATAAATAATTTTGTTGCATTAAATATAAAATAATAGAGAAAGTGAACTGCAAATTCCAAGAGAATAAATAAAAGAAAGTGTCATTTTATGTAATTATCTCTTTCCGTGTAACTTCCTTCGTTTTCTAGTGGTTACTAACTTGCTTGTCTTAATCACTGGGCCTCTAATCACCAGACCCACAAAATTAAACTAATCAAATCAAAGTCATAATAATATGATTAGCTATAAATAGTAAGTTATTTAGTTAATCAAATCAACTTATTATTTCAGGTTCTTCACCTAAAGGAGCAGCTTCATGACGCTGAAAGAGAGATCCAACGGTTGGCACAAAGAGTCGAAGGAGCCATAAGCAGCAGTCCTATCTCATCTTCTGTCTCTATCGAAGCTAATCAGACTACGCCATTTTTCGGTGACTACGAAGTCGGATACGACGGTGACAGTTACGAGAACTTATTCTACTCGCCGGAATACATTAATGGATTTGAATGGATGAGCCCATTCATCTGAAAAGAACTAAGCTTAAATATTAATTTAATTAGTATAGAGATAACTTGGTTATTCTATATGATTGGTCGATATCTATAATGAAGCAGACTATAGATTCATTAGATCTAATTCGGTTGTCTAATGTTGTGGACATCTTTCTCTAAGCATCAATTGCTTAACTAGATAAGTCGAAAGCGGCTCTGGTTTGTTTGACTTGAAGGTCAAGTTTGGACAAAAACAATCTGTATATTTGTCAATTATAAGTAAATTGCGATTTCTCTTTCTAGTTATAGGCTTTTTACTCAAAATATATGCATGTGGATATGATATGAATATCATATTATACTTGGTAATTTTTGTAATTAATTATACTTAATATAATAAAAATCTGTTTACATCGATGCACTAATTAGTACTAGTTAATATGCAAAGAAATCTTTAAGAAATAATAAAACCTAATTTATTATTCAGAAAGAACTATATATTGATCGACGAGTGACATTCACACGCTTAACTCTAAGCAACTACTGATACTCGACCCTTACAAAACTATAAATATATTGTCAAAAGAAGCAATGTATACTACAACTATCAAAGAAACGTATGGCCACCAATTTGACGATGATTTATATACGACCACTTAAAATATTTATATATATTGGTAATTTGACGATGGTATAATTAAGACCACTTAAATTAAACAGTGGTAATGTATTTATTAGTATCATAAAAAAGGAAATTAGTTACGGTGTAAAATATATAAGATTGCGTTTCTCACTTTTAGTCACATAATTTAAAATTATTGGTTCTTTTTGCAGCGTGGTTGTCAAATACTATATATTTACGAATCATACATGATAGTGTGATACGTATAAGAAACCGTACGTACATATCATTGAATTAGAATACCGACACTGGTTGTCAAAAAGAAAAGAATACGGACCATTGGAATCGATAGCCTGATAGATTTTAAAGCATGTCTTTTTGTCAGATTAGTACGTACGTGTTTCTATATAGACTACATATATTTTATAAAAAGTACGCAAATTTAAAAGAAAAACCTTTACAATATATAATAAGAGAATAATATAGAACGTAATAAGCTGCATATATTACGGGTTTTCTTTAAGAACTTTTTATCATGGAACACATATAGTGGCATGGTATAGAAAAACTAACGGCGAAAGGTATCGCACTCCCACATGATATACAAACACAAGCAAAACGACGATGAAACTTTATATGTCGATGGATAACATTTTGCTAAAAAAATTAAAAGAAGTTCGGATAGAATGTAACTCAACTAGGTAACGCAATAAATGTGCGTTCACCTCATGTGACAACAAAACTGGATTCGCTTATGCAATAGGACGGTCCAGTATTGACTCTAGAAAAAAAAATCTTCCTATGGATATCTTATTGTCATCTGTTTATTATTCGAATCACAACGATTTAGATAATACGAGATGTCTTTCCACGTCTAGAATTAATTGAATAGAAAAAAATGCCATTGTAAAAGCTTATTATACTAGTGAGTTATTGTTTAATACAATAGCTAAAAATCAAAGCTAAAGTTGTAATAACTTTGTTGGGAAGATATGCAGGATAAGTGTCCCATGTGTCTTATCTCTGCACGGACAAAACTTTAAATCTGTTTGTTGTCTCTCAAATGTGATATTTAAATGGTCACATAAAGTTCAGATTCTGTCAAATTAACAATGAAGAAACTGACAAATACACTGTGTATGTTATATGTGTCAAAAACTTGCAACTTATTCTTAACAAAAAGCGGAATCGAGAAGTGATAAAAAGAACGCAATTGGTGTAATTTTAGGAAATAGGGATTGATATTAAAGTGTAAAGAAGCAACAGTGTATGGGTACTTTTCAAAGTTGAAGTCAGACTCATTGGAGTATAGTATGCTATGTGTCAAATAATCATGGATTGATGGGTTGAAAAGTCGGTCATCTTTTCTGGTAAATTAAATTTGTTTGGTACATAATATTGTTTTTGATATTCTTATTTTTTACATTTTTTAGAATACTTTTGCAACGATAACAAATGGAAATGAAAATCATAGTATTCCATATTTAGTTGATTATACTTAAACCTTAATGAAAGCATAGGATATAGTGTTGTAAAATGAACTCTGCTGCATTCACTTGTTTCGATCGTTTCGTACGTAGCATTGTGCCCATACTATTCCTTTTTTCTTTTTATTTTATTTATTAGAGGATTTTCATCAATTAAAAATAATGTTTACTTGATGAAGAGTTAAATCAGAGCCATTGATGAAGAGCTAAACCAGAGCTATTCTTGTTCTTTATTAATTATATATGTATAAGATATGATAATCATTTGTGACACGGACTTATTTTTGAGCAACCATTCAATTCGTTATAGGAACCATCTACACCTAGGCCATGAAAACTACTCGGAGTCGCCCCAGGCAATACGCAGTTGATCAGATAAGTGTGGAAAGGTCACTTGCATTTTGAATGACCACTCTGGTTTACTGGTTTCAACGTTTTTTTTTTTCCTTTTTCCTAAAGATACTGGTTTCAATGTTGGTCTGGTAATCGTTTGTTGTGTTGATAGCATTTATAAGACATGTTTCTAGCACTGCGGCTCTCCTTCCTGACTTCTTATTCCAGTCACTTACATGTTTACTCTTCGTAGTTTTTATTCCTAAAAACATCCTATATATTCTCATAACATGTAGACTTTGGCTTGATTGAAAAACTAGGTCTTCTCTCCATATTTGTCTCGTCTCAAACTTTTAGTTTCATTCCGTCACCAAAGAACTTCAGGTTTCTGATACAAACTTAGATGTACGTACATACTTACTTCATCCATACGCTTCCGATAGAAATCACGAGAAAAATGATCATGATTTCATCCTTGAGCCATTTCAACAAGTTTGCTTCTCATCAGATGTATTTCTTCTATCTTCCAAACAAAATCGGATCAATAGATGAGATGCTTAAGTTTCATGAACTTAACCACTATAGTCAAACCGTCCTTGAGACCCAATTTTTATTTTGCTGTCAACATTTGATCTCCTTATCCATTGAATCAACATACTCTCTTTAGGATCTTTAAAGGCTGGAGAATATGAAAACATACCCAAGCTATTCTTTATAAATTGAAAAAAACCGAAGTGTTCTTCTCCTAATTGCACACAAGGTGCTCAATAAAAGTTGATAAAGCCTTTTCCTTGAGGCTGGAACATCAGACCTTCCAATTCTCACCGCTCGCGGAGTTCAAAGAAACTATATAAGCTATTATTAATTGCATATACACATGATAGTTTCATTCATAACAGAAAATATGTCAAGAAATTAAGTCAATAAAAAGAAATATTGATAAAGTAAATCTTATACAATAAAGTTGACTTCTCTACCTTCTCATGCATCAGCATTTACATAGGGACAATTTATGCTATATGGCATCCAAAAAAAAATTGCAGAAATTGCTATGGGCTTTAATATTGATGCAATTGGTTTTCAATCATATGGGCTTTAAGAAAATAGTTCAAACCTATTTACGAACATCATCTCGGCCCAACATTATTCACCCTTATGCTCTCAGCCTCTCACCACCTTGCCTGCTCAGTTTTTTTCAGGATCACTGACTGTGAAACCAGTACAACCATTATAACGCTTTTTCTAAACATTCATACCAAGACATCAAGCTTCTTAATTATGGTTTTCAATCAAGTCGTCCCAATGTATATACTTCGCTTCATCTTCTCCACTTTTTCTATTATTATGATTTTTTATATATATAATTATAGATAGAGAACAAGCCTCCACACATCTCATCGATCTTCGTCCCAACTTACTATATGCGTCATCTGGCATTCACTAATTTTCTATGATTCCGCAAAACGACCATTGTAATGCTTCTCCTCGGCATTTCTAATTTCAAAATTGTCTCAAAATTCTAGGGAAAAAAGAAAGAAGCGAGGACTAAGACGGTAACGAGGGTTTAGATTTTATAGCAAGAAGTAGAGTTTTTTGCTTTGAAGCTGGAGTCTGGATACGAGTGGGAGCTTTTCAAGAAAAACGCTCGACTTTTGAAGAGATGAAAACATGTTTGTCTTCTTAATCTCAATTTCAAATCTCACACTGATCGCCAACGTAGGCAGAATCGCTTCAAGAAATATAGGTCAAGCTTTCATTTTTCACATATTTGCTCTTTAGGTTTCGGTGTATTTAGACTAATTTTGTGTGGATCTGATAATTTGAAAGTTGATAGAGGATGTTGATGAGTATGATGGTGATGAACATATCTTCCCAATCGCATGAGTTCATCTTCCAATAAGTTGTTGTCAACTTGGAGATTATGGGTTCCTCAAAACTACAACTTTTTGGAAATGTATTAGCACATTTTACGATCATCTCTAGATATGTATATCGATTTCTTGAACCAATCTTTACTGATGTACATGTCCGAAACACAGTTCCGTTCAGGTGTATAAAATGGGGAGAGGAGGCTTCTCCTCCAATAAGAGAATGCTCGGCACTGATATTGATATATGAGCAAGTGTTCTCAAGTTCTGGCACTCATAACATTACAAGGATGACATTTGTTAACTCAAAAATTGGTAATCTTTCTCTTCTTTATAGCTATGATTCATTCATTGTATGGAAGAATACTAAAAAGTAAAGTGGTAGTTTTTGTCATTATTTTTTATAGCGGAGCGTTGCGCTGACTTTGGAAAGACACATGCTTTGTATCATATAACCAGGGCTGGCCCAGGTCATGTAAGCCATTGCTTAGGGTCCAATGGACAATTTACCTGGAAAATGGACAACATTCAAGGTTTTGACTCTATGCTAGCCTCCATATCGAAACCAACTTATCTATGCATGTTGATCTTTTACCTGCACACACACACACACACATATACATGTATATATATTCTCGAAGTTTCCACAATGTGCGTTTGTGAGAACTCATGCAACTTCTACTTATTCCTTTGAGGTTTTTGTCGATGAGGTAGAATGTTTAGAATTCTTTAGCAAATTAAAGAACGTATAATACTAGCTGAAATTTTTAAATGTTAAGCATAAAGAGGGATATGTTTCGTT